ACATGTGGGAGTCCAGTGCCTTAACCATCAACCATCTGCTAGACCCTTGAAGTCCTTTTGTATGGATTACACTACTTTTTTTTTTTTTGAGGTAATTTTGCTATAGGGTATGTCTGTTTGCCAGCTAAGAGAGAGAAACAAAAAGTAAGAAATCATCCCCCAGCGGGGATGGCCATGCTGAAATCCTTTCTCCTCCAGGGATTTTGGGCACGCATGTACAATCGTCTGGCGTGAGTTTCAAACTAGCAGGTGTGGGACTAGAACTGTGGTTGACCATGTGGGAGTCCAGTGCCTTAACTGCTACACCACCTGCTGGACCTTACACTGTCTTTAATATTTTAAAAATTCATCATTTTATATTGAAGATGTATTCACCATGTGTACAACACTGGTGGTAAACTTTTCATCATCTCTGCCAATCTTATTAAAATGGTGACAAATAAGAGATTTTCTAAGATAAACTGTAGCTAAGACTCTTCTCTACCCATTCCTTAAAATAAACAAAATAAGTAAAATTTTAGGTATTAAAACTACTATGTAATAAGAGAAACAGGGATCGGCAGATGGCATAGTAGTTACCTTGCTAGACTTTTCTTTTCTTTTTCTTTCTTTTTTTTGGGGGGCGGGGGGGGGGAGAGGTTTTTGCTATAGGGCACATATGCTTGCCAGAAAGACAGAGAGAGACAGAGAGACAGAAAGCGAGAAATCACCACCCGGGGGGGATGGCCATGCTGCAATCCCTTCTCCTCCATTCTCCTCTCGGGATCTTGGGCACGCACGCATACCCGCCCGGCGTGAGTTTAAGCCGCCAGGTCCAGGACTTGAAACACGGTCAGTTATATGGGAGTTCAGCAACATAGCCATTACACCAACTGCTGGTCCCCCTTGCTAGACTCTCATGTAGTTGACTGTGGTTTAAGTCCTGGACCCAGCGGCTTAAAACTCACACCTGGCACGTATTGCATGCATGCCCCAAACCCCAAGAGAAGAATGGAAGAGAACGGATTCCACTGTGATCATCTTCTAGAGGGATGATTTCTCCCTTTCTCTCAATCTCTCAGCGAGTGAATGTGGCCCAGAGCAAAAATCTCTCTCAAAAACAAACCAAAAAAGGTAAGAAAACCAATAGGAGTAAGCATTCATTTAATAAACCAACTGTGAGCCTGACAAGGGGAGGAGCTTGGTATTATATATGGCCAAATGAAATTCTATATTTTGGACAATGTTACTCTTATAATCCATTTAAATAATTGCATTCAAATATACAATGCCTTGCCTGTAACTAGACTTACTAAACAATAATTCTGACATAAAATTTATCTTCCATCTTTTCTAAAAAGACTATTGGAACTACTAAGTAACCGCAGCTACAATGGCTGAACTGTGGAATTACAATAGTAAATTCATTCATAGCTTGACAGCTGTATTAATTTAATGAATGGCACTATAGACTAGCAAATAATCTATAAGTCTACAAAACTAGCACTCAATTAACAGTCATTTACTAGTCTCATTTCCTACCTCTCCATTCACTGCTATATAAATTACTATGCTTAGAAAATGATTGTGTGGGAACCAGCAGTTAGCGTAATGCCTATGTCGCTGGACTCCCACGAAGTCAACCGCGGTTAGCATCCCGGACCCGGTGGCTTAAAACTCATGCCTGGTTTAAAACTCATGCCTGGTTTAAAACTCATGCCGGGCGCATGTGTGTGCGTGCCCAAGATCCCGAGAGGAGAAAGGAGGAGAAGGGATTGCAGCGTGACTATCCCCCCTGGGGGGTGATTTCTCGCTTTCTGTCTCTATGTCTCTCTCTGTCTGGTGAGGGCATGCACCCTATAGCGAAAACCTCTCAAAAAAAAAAAAAAAAAAAAAAGAGATTGTGTTTCTGCCTCTAATAAAAATCAAAAAAAAGATCTTAGAAATCGGAGGGTAAGTATACTGAATTTCTTTGACATGTTTTTTTTCTTTTTAACAAAGTTTGTTCTTTGTTCTTTTCTATCTTGTGTATAAATCATTATTTATTGCCTTGGATAATAAAAGTATAATTGTGAAAACAATTTTTACTTTTCAGGTAGTTTGCTAACTACCTCATTCCATTAGATTGGGCAAGAACAAAAAGTGACTTAGTATACTAAAATTTATCAATGGAAAACCTATGAAGATAGGCTGAGTATCATTGGCCAGAAATACTTATGGCTCTAGTTAACTTTTTAACTAAACACTGTTTTAGCAAACAATATATATATACATATTTTAAAAGAAATATCCCTAAGATAGTAAGTCAATTCTGTAGATTTTTTAAATCTTAAGAAATAGAAAAAAGACTCAGGCAAAATAACTTAAAAACAAACATACAAGGGACCAGCACTTAGTGTAATGGCTATGTCGCTGGACTCCCACGTAGTCAACTGTGGTTCGAGTCCTGGACCCGATGGCTTAAACTCACACCGGGCGTGTGCAAGATCCCGAGAGGAGAATGGAGAAGGGACTGTGGTGTGGCCATCCTCTGGGAGTTGATTTCTCGCTTTCCGTCTCTATCTCTGTCTGTCTGGCAAGCGCACGTGCTGTATAGCAAAAAAAAACAAAAACAAAAACAAAAACAAAAACCTCTCCCCCCCAAAAAAAAGAAAAAAGAAAAAAAAAAGAATAACAAACATACAAAACCAAAACCCCTTCTGGCAACATGTACATATGAAATGGCAACCAGTCCTCTTAATTCTTTTTCTTTTAAACACATGATTTAAGAAAATCAACTAAGGATGTGAAAAATAAATTACTAGACAGACTTTATGCCACCAAAAGTTTTAACTGTCAGTAGGTGGGAGATAAAATTTTCCAGTATTTGACATCTGATTGGGTCTTCAGAATGGTATCTATGGGAGACATGAGGGAAAAGGAGAGCTATTTCACAGAATGCTGGGTTAAAAACAAACAAACAACAGCTGAACTCATTTAATTATGTAGTAGTGCAAAATCTTTTTTGTTTAAGAAATTAAAACGACGACATATTCTATCAAGTTACAGTGTGCATGTAGCATAGGCTCTAGTAGGCTGGGGAAACATAGTCAAGTTAAAACAGTTTAACTACACACCCTGCAAAAATCAGTAGAGTACTTCATGGGACAACAGATTCTGTTAGTCCTACATTAAGTTCTCAGTAATGATTTTTAAGCTAATCATAGTGCTGTAAGTCCTGTAGTTAATAGACTACAGTAGAGTTAACAGAAACATTTAAAAACACAAACATGTTTCAAAGGAACACTTAGGAAAACACTTGTAATATAAATAAATGTGTGATAAGTAAAAAAGCACAGATAATCATAACACATTCTTAATGAACTGAAGGCATGGCCTTCAGCTGGCTTGGTTTGCACAAACTAAAATGTAAGGCTGAAACCATAACTATTAGCAAAACTCTACATTTAACTTTGAGAATGATCAAACCCTCTACTACAACTCACAACTACTAGCAAAACTCTACATTCAACTTTGAGAATGATCAAATCCTCTACTACAACTCTAGTTAATAGGTTATTTCCGTGTCTTTTGCAAAGTGTGCCTTCTTTTAAAATGCAGAGTAAACAAAAATGACTTAAGAATTTCTCTACAAAAAGTAGCATACATACTAAAGCAAAACAATTTATTACCTTGAGAACTCTTGAACTTTAAATTACAAGACAAGCAAGATGACTACCTAATTCACAACTTTACCATAATGCAACGTTACCGCAACATACAACTAACTATACAAACCTCAAGATAAAGAAAGAAAGCAAAACTGATGCTAATTCTTGGTCAAGATAATTTTTCTTAGTTCCCACAGAGATGTTTTTGAATAGCCACCTGAAACATGAGTTTTTAAAATACTGTAAATACGTCCATAAATGAAACCTTGAATCTTTAAATACCACTCGCCTAGAAAAATTCGCTTATTTCTACGCTTGTTAGTGTTAGAAACTTTGAACAGTGCAAAATGTGTAACTTAAAATTCACTTTGTTCAACCTCACCCCCACCCCCAAAGAACAAAAAGCATACTCCTCAGCTTTTCTCTTTAAAAAACTGAATGAGTAGTTCAACTACTTTGTTTCTGATACCAAAGTTCTGGCTCGCCCCTGTACCTTTTACCTCAGACCTAAACTGGCCCTGAACCAGAATGGTTAAGCCATGCCTCCGGGAGACTCGCAAGAAGCGTTTCCTGGTCAGGCCCGGGAGGAAGAAGGTCTTCCCGGTTTCAGACTCTTCTCCCAGCCTTTCGCACCCGCTCGGTTCAAGTGTGAAGAAGAGGGGCTCAGAATGCTAGGCCCGAAAGGGCAAAGCCAGTCAGGGCCTAGACCGTGGCATGGACCCCGAGGCGGGGAAGAGGCAGCAGGCACCAGGGACCGGAGCCTCAGGCCGGGGGCGTCCACGTAGACGGGGGAGGGGTCTCCGCTTGAAGCGCACAGCCCGGGACCCCCTTCGCTGCTCCTTTACCCTCCCCTCCCCCATGCTGGAGAAGCAGGGCCCAGGCCCGGTGCGGGAAGGGGGAGGAGGTAAACCCGTCCTGTCACTGCAACGGGAGAGGGTGGAAGGGGCACATGCTCTACGGGGAAAGGCCGCGGCCGCACCGGCTCCGGCCCCGAAAGCCCGACACCATCTCCAGTCCCAGAGTTCCGTTCCCTACGCCTCACCAGGTCGTAGTCCTCCTCATTGGCTCGGAGTTACTATCTTCAGAGTATTCCAGGTCGTAGTCCTCCTCCTCATCGCTCATGAAATCATCCTCCATGTCAGACATCTTGGCCGGGAGGGGGGAGGGGGAGGAGAAATTGGAGACAACCTCCTCCCACAATCCTCCGCGACTCAGAGGCGTCACTCCTAGTTTCTCCGCCGCTTTCCGTCGCTCTTAGAGGGGCTCAGTTTCTTCCCGGAACCAATACACTCGATCGGGAGAGGAATCGCTACAACACCAAAGGGGGGTGCACCCGTACTCGTCTTCCTGGGAAACGGGTGGTGCCGTAGCAACTAAACCTAGCAACTCGGGGATCTTCGCGGCGGTCGTGGCCAAAGGGCTTCGGAAACCTTGAGTTCCCACTCAGCGGTTTCCAGCCTCCTGGGCAAGGGAACAGTCTCCTCCTTTGCCTAGGACTCTGGAGCCATCTCATTCTGGTGAGAGTAAGGGTCAGCCTAGAAACAGAAGCCTTTAACCGGGAAAAGACTGACATGCCGGTCCTGTGTGACAGGTAGTGTTATTTCTGCCGTCATTATCTCTGTGTATATAGCCCACAGATTGCGATGGGTGTTCCCATGGTGCTTGGAAACTCCAGTAACACAATTTACACGTATGTTTGTTATATTCGTCGTCGGCCAAACGATTTTGTAGATATCCTAGATTAGGTAAGCACCAATCTGTGGGGGCTCCTTATATCTTACTCAGTTCAACGAATTTTAAGGTGATAGATACTGTCCTTGGGAACAAGCTAAGGTAACAGATAACGACTGACTTTTTAAAAACTACATTATTGTTGCACGAAGTCATTAGCAGAACTCAAGATTAAAAATAAATCAGAAAAAAGGAGGCGATTGCTTTTCAGACAGGTAGCATTTTCCACATACATGCCAGTTCGGTCCCCTTGAATATATTAATGTTATACAGTTATAAGATAGACTTTTTATTTTATTTTTAAATTGAATTCTTTTTGAACCTTATATATAGCAGCATAGTGAAATGTATACCATAGTTTTTTGAAAAAAAAATTTATTTGCGGGGCCCAGCGGGTGGTGTGATAATTAAGGCACTGGACACTCCCACATGGAAGACCACGATTGGTCCTGAACCTGGTGGCTAGCTTTCTCACTTTCTCTCTCTCTCTCTCTCTCTCTCTCTCTCTCGCCAAATTAAAATAAAAGAACGAATACAATTAAATAATAAAAAAAAGTTTTGTATTTGCTACCGGACACATGAGTTGGTTCCCAAATGTTAGAAAGAAAGAGAGAGGGGGAAAATGAGAAAGCACTCCCTCAGGCGGAATGGCCACACCTTAATCCCTTCTACTGCATTTTTCTCCCTTTTGGGTTTTGGGAATACTTGCCAACATTTGGGGCATGCTTCTCAAGTCCTAGGTTTAGGAATTCAAACTGTACAGTTGACCTGGTAGGATCCAGCAACCTCAACCACCACCATTGGCTGGCCCTACAATATTTCTTTCTTTCCTTTTCTTCCTTTTTTAAAACTTTTTTCCAAAGATTTATTTATTTATTTTCATTTGTTATTATTATTTTTATAATATCTTAAACTTTTTTATTCTCTACCAAAGTCCTAGGTTTAGGAATTCAAACTGTACAGTTGACCTGGTAGGATCCAGCAACCTCAACCACCACCATTGGCTGGCCCTACAATATTTCTTTCTTTCCTTTTCTTCCTTTTTTAAAACTTTTTTCCAAAGATTTATTTATTTATTTTCATTTGTTATTATTATTTTTATAATATCTTAAACTTTTTTATTCTCTACCAATGACATTAATTTTGTCTTTTGTTTTCTTTCAGTTTTCTACAATTTCCAGCTTGTACCTGTACTTAATACTGCTTTAATCTGCTAAAGACATTAACTGATTGCTTTCCTAAATCTAAGGGTTATATATTTTAGTATAAATATATATCACATATTTTCTTAAAATTTTGACAAAACGCAGTAAGCATGCCTTGTTTAAGTCCATGTTCCTTCTACTGTTTATAAAATTTGATTTCTTGATCAAAAATTCTTGGTTGTCACTCTTCAGTTACAACAGTCTTCCTTCTGAACTGCCACTCACTGTTTATATGTAATAAGCAATAGAAAAACCAAAGAAATTATGTTAATCTCACTTCGTCCTTTTGACACTATACAGTAATATGAGCCTTTAAAAAAATTTTTTTAATAAAACAAATACATCCAAAACTCAATGTATTCAAATGAGTTGAGTTCCTTTTAGGTAGTCACCTTGGAAGGCCACAGTTCATTCTCCTAACTATGCTGCCACTGCTCAAAATACCTTTAAAACTCTTTTAGGATTGCTTTCAAAGCCAGCCGCATACTTGCTACATTACTATGAAGTTAGATTTAACTTAAACCACAATTACCTTAGAACGCAATTCTGAAAGAGTGAACCCAAGAGGTTTTGGGCAATGGTGGATTACTGGCATTAGGAAACAACCTTCCAGCATGATCACTATGCAGGGTAACATTCATTTAGCTGTCTATGCTCTGGCATATTTGTTTAAACATTCTGAGAGTTAGAAGTTAATTCTGTTAAAAAGGAATATCATTCTTTTCTAAGAATGATATTCCTTTAAAGCATCTGTCAAAGTAAGCACTACAGAAGTGCTTTGTCAGAAATAGTTCTCCTTGTTTTCTCAATAAAGTCTACTTTTTAAAACTTGAACACGGGACCAGCAGTTAGTATAATGGCTATGTCGCTGGACTCCCACGTAGTTGACAGCTGTTCGCGTCCTGGACCCAGTGGCTTAAAACTCAAGCTGAGCGCGTGTGCGTACGTGCCCAAGATCCCGAGAGGAGAATGGAGGAGAAGGGATTGCGGCGTGGCCATCCTCCCTGGGGGATGATTTCTCGCTTTCTATCTCTCTGTCTCTCTCTGACAAGCACACGTGCCCTATGGCAAAAACCTCTCCAAAAAAAAAAAAAA